TACGACTCTTACTACTACTATTACTACTACTACTACTACCACTACTACTACCACTACCACTACTACTACTACTACTACTACTACTACTACTACTACTACTACTACTACTACTACTACTACTACTACTACTACTACTACTGCTACTACTACTACTACTACTACTACTACTACTACTACTACTACTACTACTACTACTACTACTACTACTACTACTACCACTACTACTACTACTACTACTACTGCTGCTACTACTACTACTACTACTATTGCTACTACTACTACTACTACTACTACTACTACTTCTACTTCTACTTCTACTACTACTTCTACTACTACTACTACTACTACTACTACTACTACTACTACTACTACTACTACTACTACCACTATGACCACCTCCTGTAATATTGCGACTGCTGCTGCTGCTGCTACTTTTACTACTACGACTACTGCTACTTTTACTGCTACGCCAAGTGCTTGCGCAGTGCCGCCCGGCCCCAGGCTCCGCGGTGCTCCCGCGCGTTGCGTTCGCAGGCATTGTGGTGTTCACAAGCGCTGTGGCGTTTTCCGGTTGTGTAGTGTGCACAGGCGATTTGCATTGACAGGTGTTGTGGTGTTCGCAGGTGCTGTGTTCACAGTCGCTTTGATGCGAACAGGCGCTGTGGTGTTCACGGACCTTTTGCTTTTCAAAAGCATCGCGGTGTTCACAGGCACTTCTCGTTGATTGGATCGCGAGCTTGTGTGGCGCTGGTCTCAGGCATGTCGTGATTGTCGGGTCGAAGACGATTGTTTTTCGTAGGCGCACCGCGGTGCTTACAGGTATGTTGCGACACCGCAAACGCACCCCCGCCCTGGCGTGACCGGCGCGACGAACCCCCCGATCACGCGCGTGATCGGCCCGAATGAACAAACGGGTTCCTGCTCCTGTGGCAGCCAGAGCTCGAGGCCGGTGCCGCCTTCAGCGTCCGCCCAGCGCTCAGCTCTCCCGCGAGGGTACACCTGGCTGGTGGCGCTGCCGCGGCGGCGTGTGCACCTCCGCCGCAGCGGGCGCGGGGCCGCCCTCGGTCGGGCCTGCCGCGCCCTCAGGCTCCTCCGGGCCCGTTAGCACTGCCGCGCCCAGTCGAGGCCGTACACGGCCTCGATGGCGTGCTCGCCGGCGTCTAGCGCGACGACGTCCGCGCCAGGCGCGGGGCTTCCCTCCTGCAGGAGGAGGCCAGCACTCTTGGGCGCTCGCTCCGACATCCGTCCATGCCGCGAAGCGCCATCCGTTCGCGCGGAGTGCAGCTGCCACTGCCTTCGTGGGGGGCGCCTCCGTCGGGCGTCGCGCTCGCGGAGCCCGTGCGACTCCGCTGGCCGCCGCGGCGCTCCGTTGGCGATCGCGACGCTGCCGGAGCCGCTGCCGCGGGGGGGCTGCCGTCGCCCGCCTTGCCGCTGCCGCAGTTGCTGCCGCTGCTGCTGCAGCTGCGGCTGTAGATGCTGCCGCTAGCCGAGGCCGTTTTTGCTTCGGCGGCCTTCGCTAGGTCGCCGGCCGGCGCCGCCGGGGTCACGGGGGGGCCCCCTCCCCGCAGCGTTTCGCGGGTCGCCGGCGGCGGGGGCGGCCGGGGCTGCTGCTGTCGGGGTCGCCTCCCAGGTTGCCGGCCTCCTGGGGGCGCGTTGCTCCAGCTGGCCGTGCCAGCATTCGGTTCGCGGGCCGCGCGCGGCCGCGGTGGGCCAGGCCGTTCCCGTCGCAAGGTGCGGGGGCGAGCGCGCGGTCTCGCCGAGCGCGAGAGCGGTCCCGGCGCCGGCGCCTGCGCCGCTCCGCCCAGGAGTTGCCGCTCGGCTTCCGCCGGCGGTGCAACCGGTGCGCCCGCGCCGGACTCGCTGCATGGGTGGCTCCGCGGGCGCCCGGGCGGCCCTTGTTTCCTCGGCCCCCAGGCGCCCCGCGGAGTCCTCTGCCTCCTCGGCGGGGTCGCGGGGGCTGTGGTCCCGCCACCGCCTCCATGCGCCGCTGCCGGTCCTCCAGCAACCGGTTTCCCCGCGGCCGGGCCTTCGCAGCGTTTCTTCCGGCCTCGACTCGCGCGTTGCCGCTAGGCTCGCCGTCGGCGCCGTTTCCGGCCCTGGCGCTCGCCAGCACCAAGGCTCCCGCTTCGGCGCAGCGGCCCCCCGCCCCCCCCGGCGCAGCCGCCAGCGTCCCCCGCGGGGGATGGCCGGGCCTGCCCTCCCCAACACCCCGGTGCTATAGGGGCACCTTCCGATGACTGGGCGCTGTGGGGGTGGCGCGGCAGCTCCACGCCCAGCCGGCGGGCAGGGCTGGGAGGCAGACCCAGCACGCCTGCACGCCCGCGTCCCGCGCGGCATGCCCGCCAACCAGCATGCACCGCCTCTCACGCCGCGCCCATCGCTGCCCGGAACCCGCGCCGCGCGGCGGCCCCGGCCAGGCGGAGCTCATTGACAGCCCGCGGTTTGAGCCCACATGGCTTGAGGCAAAATGGCTTGAGCCCGCGGCGCACGCATGAGCCGAATAAGGTGCCAGAAGAGAGAGGCTCGAGCCCGAGCCGAAGAGGGTGCCGCAGACGATGTTCGAGCCAGAGGAGGCGCCAGAGCCGATCCCCGAGCCACAGATAGTGACCAAGCCGCTTCCCGAGCCGAAGGTGCCAGGGTCTACCCCCGAGCCAAAGCGGAACCCGAGCTCGAAGACCAGAATTTGGGCGAGTTGGGATTTGAGCTCCCGGCACGCCGGCCGCCGGTGGAGCTGGAGGTGAAGCGCGAGAGGACTGCCGCGAAGAATCGGACATCACTTACAGGTCTTTCGCACCCCGCATCCCTAGATCCTGGCGCGAGGCAAGCGCACCCGTCACACCGGCTCCGATGTTATGAGCCTTAGTGGATTTGCAAGTTCTGCGAAAGCCGTGCGTTGGAAGGTCGAACATTTGAGGGGTTTTGCCCATGTATATGCAAATGCGGAAAACCCTCATCCAATATCGGAGGCGCGTGCTATCTCGCGTTACGAATGGCCATTCGCTAAGGTAAGTGGCGGGGGTGCCAAACTTTTGCGCCCTCCGGTCCCTGGCCCTGACTAGCGGATGCCATCTGGGCCCGTGAGGCAGGGCTGGGGAGCCGACTTCATGTTGGTTTAGGCGCTCCGTGTAGATGCCACTCTCAGAAGTCCTCAAGCCGCCCCGACAGTCCTCCTCCTCCTCCTCCTCCTCCTCCTCCTCCTCCTCTTCTTCGCGGAACAGGGGAAGGGAGACAGATGAGGAGGGCGAGAAGGGGGACGAGGAGGAGGACGAGGACAATTTCCTGGGCAATGTCTCGTTGCGTCAGAGGTTTACCGTGTAAGCGGTTCTGATGTGGGTGCACGTTGTTTATGCGCAGCCTACCCAAGCAGTAGGGCATGTTGCACTAGAGTGTGTGGCCTTTGGTCTGGTGACGTCCGTGCCACAACCTTGACAGCCCAAGTCGCTTGGGCCTTGACCTTGTTTTGAAATCGTTACCGTGGAACGCCAGAGCACCCCGAACACCCCGAGGAATGTTGGAAGAGGAGGAGGAGAAGGAGGAGGAAGAGGAGGAGGAGGAGGAGTAGGAGTGGAGTGGAGTGGAGTGGACACCGCTGCGCAGCAGGTTCGGGTACTAGGAAGGCCTGGACGGACGAGCATTCGAGCGCCGAGCCGCTTGCTCAGCTCGGCTCAGGACTTTGGGATGTAACCCCCGAGCAATCCTGTCTAAATACTCCTGACCAGTTGCGGACTTCCGCTTACGACATGGGCCCTTAAGGGATCGCAAAACCTTATCTGCGATACTCCCACATTCGGTGCAGAACCAAACCTGAAGGGTCGGATGAACATTCAGGGTATGCGTAGTGTGGGCCCAACCCCCCGCGATATGAACTCGCGACCCCTTTAACGGCGAACATATGGAGAGAGGAAACGGAGGAGGGGGAGGGGGTGGCTGAGGGAGGAGGAGAAGCTTGATGAGGAGGATGTAGGGACGGAGGAAGATGAGGAGGATGTCGGTGGGGGGCGGGGGAGGAGGAGGAGCAGGGAGGAGGTGGGAGGAGTAGGAGGGGTCTCTCCTGCAGCCCCGCAGGAGCTCAACTGGTGCCTGCTTGGCGAGGTGGAGTTGACGGCCTGTCGGCAACTGTCTTGCGCGAGCCTGCACGAGAGGCCCTCTTCTTCTGCAGGGTCGGGGAAGGACGGGGGTGGCGGTGGAGGGGGGTACAGCTTCAACGCAGCCTGCTCATAGGCAGCGGCGCGCGCGCGCGACCAGACTGTGTGGGACAACAAGTTGCTACAGAGGGTGCGCCCGCGCAAAACCCTTCCACCCGACAACGCCTGAGGCTTTTCGCCGTCAATGAGCTTCTGGGGCCTTCCACGGCACGGTTCCCAAGACCACCATATAACGAACCATCAAAAATTACCTTTTAGTTTTGCATCCCCCCCGCTAGATGTACGACGCGTCTCTCGGCGGGGAATGGATTCGCCCTTGCTCGTGGTCGTCGTCGTCGTCGTCTTCGCCGTCGCGGCGGAGATTGTTCTCCCCATGCTGTCGGGCGGGCTGGATACGTTTTGGGGCCCATCCACTGTGGACGACCATACTCGCGAGAGGATTTGTGAGCATCTCTTTCGAGAGTTTTTGTAGTCGTATTCGCGGTCGTTGTCGTTTTAGTAGATGTGGTCGTTAATTATTCGTAGCCGTAGCCGTAGTTGTATCTTGGTCGTAGTCGTAGTCATAATCGTAGTCGTTGTCATCATTGTTGCGCGGCGGGTGCCGCTAGAAATACGTATTTAACATGTTCGGCGGGGCCCAAGTCCGTCAATAAGGGTGTCCAAACGATAACCCGTTTCCACTATTGGAAGGGGGATTCGAAAGGCCTATAGAGGTCACTTCATGCCAAGGGATGGAGGAAGCAAGGACGTGGAGACAGAGGATCGGGGAGAACGGGAAGCACCTACTCATTCTCCCCCTCGCTTTTCTCCCCCCCCGCGCTTCGGCCATCCCTTCCACGGGTCCTTGCTCCCCCC